GCGCAATCATCATTTCTATATTGTAAGTTAACCAAGGTGGTTTAGTTACTCTCTTCGTTTGAGAAGGGACGTGTTTTTCGAATAGATTGAGAATGTTGTCGTTCAGGAAGAAGACCATACGATCCACGTTATCGAATTGATAGATGAGATCCCACTGAATATACAGAACGTCTAAACGAAAGAGATCGAAGTCGAAGTTATGAAAATCGCGAGAAGAAAGGAACCATTTGAACTGTTCTAGGAGAAACAGAAGCATTAATTTTGCACATCACTGACATATGGTCTGAAATTCCCTGAATATCATTCACATCCACATCTAATATTCTTTCCTTATCAAAGACGAGAACGATGTCAATAAGTGATTGAGAGTGAGCAGTTATTCAAGTAGGCTTCTCTATAAGCTGAAACAGATCGAACGAATTTATAAAATCTGTAAGCGATGATCTGTTGAATTTATGAACACCATCGTTTCAGTATATAACAGAATATAACAGAGAAATGAATATAACCTTAAAAACCAAAAGTCCTGCTCTGTCCGTTTCTCCAGCACACTCCTTAGACCCCGTCTCTCCAATAATTGGCTAATTAATTTCCCCAAATGAACCTTTGTGACCGTCAGGAAGCTGCAGCGAGGCATCCATGTTGTTTTTTTACCATAACCATAAATCGGGCTCGACGAATGCCTCCAGTAACTGCCAAACTCGATGGGAATTTTGATTCGACAAAAAAATATTTCCATTGTGTTCCTTTCGCCGAATTTTATCGGTCGCGCCTCGTAAAATACTGGAATTGATCGTAAAAATTGTAATTTTATCTCTTTCGTTCAAGATGTATGCGTCGTGGACGCCTACTTGGATGACTGTTAAGTAATAGTTGAGAAAAGAGGCTCTTAAGAAATATTTATCTGGAGTCTGGAAGGAGTATTCAATTGGGAGTTTTTGAGATCGTCTGTTGTCTGTCTGTAGCGACTTTGAAAATGACAAGTTAGCTTGATATTGAAAAATAATGTCCTGGTAATAATAACAGTGAGCAATTCGTTCAAAAATAGGGTCTTTCATAAAGCGCTTCTCGTCTTTGAATTTGAATATAAACTGTGTGTGAGATATCATCGAAAGTTGTTTTTATTCGTTCGAAAGACCTGTTGATGCCAATTACTCTGGCACATAAATCAGGTTGAGTTTGACCAATGGTATAGGCTTTGGGGACCGCTCTAGTCTGTGGCTTATTTGCATAAACCTGCGACATAAGAAAACCCAAGATAAATAGTTTAAAAAACTGAAGTCGATAGCGATAAATTTATAGTAGCAATGTTCCTTGATTTCAAGAGGGCATTTGAAACTATCGATAGGCAAATATTACTTCGTAAACTGAGATATTATGGAATCGATGGAATAGCCTTAAGTTGGTTCAAAAATTATCTCAATCGCAGGTCACAAATAACTAGAGTGATGAAATGTTTCTCAAATGAATATAGGCGTACCTCAAGGGAGTGTCCTGGGACCACTGCTGTTTATAATTTGCCTGAATGATGTAAATTTTATTCAAGGTTATGATTTTTTAAATTTATTTGCAGATAATGTTACCTGCATGCTACGGACATGACGCTGTAGAAAAGTGGAACGCATGAATCTCTTACAAAGTTTCCATGTTTTCAAAAATAACAATATACTGAACCATCATTCAGCCCTATTTTGATTATTGTTCTACTCTGCTTCATCTTTTGGATAAAAACGATATACAGAAGTTACAGAAACTGCAGAATCGAGGTTTAAGAATCATCTTGAAATGTAAGATACACTCCAATTCAATTCATGCCGAGTGCCCTCAAGTGGTATCATGTGGCAGATACTCAAGTATAATATTTATTTATAAAATAGCCAGAAATTTATTACCAAAATATTTTGATTTCTTCATTACATACAATAATCAAATTCTTGACTACAACACAAAAACAACCAATCAATTCCACATTTCCAGGACAAGAACGAATCCATCCATGAAATCATTGTTTTTCAGAGGATTTAATGATTTTAACCAATTACCATGTCACGTTAAATATTCTGTTACTTCATATTCATTCAAGGCTCAGTCAAAAATATATAATACATCACGTACTCTATGAATTTTCTTAGTTTCTCTTTGCAATTTTTATATTTCACATTTCACATCATCGAATTGTTTTATTGGTTTGAACTTTTATGTGTTCTGTATACATTGTGATATGTTAAATATTTCATCACCCACCCACTCGAATAATTACCCTAAGTTTACCATACTTTAGTCGTCACTTGGCGATTTGAGTGCTCATTCCATTGGTTTTTACTTCGATGATCTGTAAACATTTTCCTTATGAGGAAATATGTACAAATGTCTGCCGAATATAATTCTATGTCCATCGTGATATTAACCTAAGAAGTAGTTGTTTTCGGCAGGTTTCTGCAAGATCTTCTCAGTAGGCAGATGTTAGACTCAATTTTATTTCTGCTGAAATATTTTTTTTCAAAAGTTGCAATTTCCACATTCATTACACTGTTCTAATTGATGAATTTTCCAGCACTTAACGATTCTGAAATGGAAAACAGTTGGAGAAAACGAAGCAAATTCCAAGATAATAAACTCGTTTTTTGTCTCCATTAGATGTTATAAATGTTGTAACGAAATCTATGTCTTTTACGTACTTTACCCTTGTTCGCGGATTAAAATTAAAAGGTTTTTTCTTCCAAGACATAAGCTGCTAACAAACTGCTTCGGAATACTTGAGTGGAATCTGAATTTTCCCAAGAGACAATATAGTGTCTGTAGGTATATGTTTCACAAGATCAATGTTTATTAGGAGGGATGAATATATATTCGAAGTCATATTGATTTTGTGGAATATTCAGCAGAGCGTTGTTATAATATTGGAAATATTCTTGCTCAATATTTTGTTTCATATCCAAGCTCGTTATTCAGTACATGAGCTTACAGTGCATACCCTTCATTTTGAAATCAGTTGCCTTCGATTGGAAGTTTCCTACATTTTTTGTATGAAGATGGAGAAGTAGAAAACCAATTTGTTTCTTTCCCAAGACTTGTTGACATCTTGATTCACAAAACCAACTCCAACCGATCCTGTAGAAAGAACCAAATGAAAGAAGGATATAATTTCAAAATTCATAATAATTTGTTAATCCAAACAACATTTGACTAGGATTAATTTGCATCTGACTTTTACTATTTCACATTATTCAATCTACCTGTCTCATAAAGGTCCCGAAATGCATGGCATGAATTGAGTTGTTTAAAATGGTGTTTCTCTATGGATAATCCATTTTACAAATTTACCTGGATAGTTGAGGTACATGTCAGTAATAGTTTTACGAAGTGACCTGAAATTTGGAACAAAGCCTTATGGCTGTGTTAATTTTGCCACCTGAGATGATTATCCCCTCTTTCTGATTGACTTTTCGACATAAAGTTTCGATTTCATTTGATTCATTTTCCAGATTCATTTCTGTGACTTACGTTGAAAGATTCTCTGTGTTACAAGTGTTTGTGGTATTTGTGTCAATATTTTACGTGAGTATTAAAACTATTTAGAAATGGTTCTCTCCTTGAATGCAAATGAATTAGTTAGAATTTTATTCACAAAAGTAAACGTTGGAATAGTTTTTCCACAGATAAAATTTTCTTGTTCGAAAAGATGAAGAAGTATGTGAATTTTCTGTTTGATCTTAGTGTGTACAGCTTGTCAAATCTAGGAAGATACTTGGGAATCCTCTCTCTCTCTATTTCTCTCGCTCTCATAGTCATCTAACGAACGCAGATCTAGTGAGCGAGACATAACGAAATTCAGAAAACTCTTTCTACATTTCAGAAGCTGTACTGATTGATAGAACATTTTTCTTTTTGAAAAATGCTACGAATTCAAGCAGTAGTTTTCCATTGCAATCTTTATATTTTTTTATCAGATTGTGAAAAGTAAAAATACTCAAAGAAGGTTTATAGAAAATACTGTTGTATTTTAGAAAACTCATTTGCCATCCCACAGATATTCAATATAGTGTAGTACTTAGTCCATTTGAACCAGAGTCGTTTTAGAAGTAACAACAGTTTCCAAAGTTACTCCCATTTCAAATTTATTTCAAAAATTGAAAAAGGAATATTTTTAGGATATATCAGTTCCTTGAGGAAAATGCGTTTCGGCTTCCTCCATCATAGAACAAAAAACATGGAAACTTCCTGACCTCTTTAATACTTGCTAGTCTTTAATTTTTCAACTTTTCGCTTATTGAAAATTCTGAATCACCTCATGTAAATGCTTCAACCATCAGAGTAGGTAGTGCCAACGTATGTTCGATTTGTAAATTTATTTTTGTGGAGAGGTTATTGCTTCTCCCTTTATGAATAGAAACATTAAAACTCCCTAATGTGTGGATAATCAACATACATTGCATTACATTCAAAATGAGCCACCTTGAATGAATTTTGGTACAATAATTTGCAGGAAAAATGAAAAAACACGTCAAACATAGTATACAGGGAGATACATTTTGACATATTCACATTTGATGTTACTTCCCCATAGTATAGAGGGCGACACATTTTGACATATTCACATTAGATCTAACTTTTCCTAACTTATTTCGGTAAAAAAATAATAATATAAGTATAATAATTTAAGTTTCCCTGGAAAAATATCTCAATCCCTCTTTATTTCAGGTAACATGAGGAATTTTAAAGCTACAATAGCCATCCTGGTGGGATATTATCTGCTGTTAGTGACATCACACGTGTACAAATGTCAACGAAATTATATGTTCACGTGCCTTTGTACATCTTTTAAATGTCCGTCAGCAAATAATACTTCAAAAATTGATGCATTTCATGGATATACAAAAGTACAGAGCTATTTGAATATTGATCAAGGAACTGAAACTGAAGGGTCGGTAAATCATACTGCTGGTAAAATTGGAAATTTGAGAATGATGTTCTGTCCAATGTCAAGACAAAGATTCTCAAATGTTCTATCCAGGAAGGGTCCTGCTATTAGTGAAGATTCGTTCAAAAATATGTTTTATATGCAAACTCTACGCGTTTCTGGTTTTGATGGTTTTATAGAAGATGATGCTTTGGAAATTCTTTCCCATTTGAAAACTTTGTCTCTGAAGAACAGTTATTTTGGGAATATTAATTGCATATTTGGATATTTGAAGGGTCTTATGGGGATTCCTGTAGGATTGTTTCGAAATTTAAGGGAATTGAGGGAATTGGATCTATCTAGGAATAAACTAACAAGTATCTCGAAATATCACTTCAGTGGACTAACTGACCTCGAATTTCTAGATCTTAGCGGGAATCAGATACGATATATGGGCATAGATACCTTCTCCAAATTATTTCATCTGGCATATATCAGCCTCAGTGGGAATTATTTACATTTTTTAGGTGATGAAACTTTCAGAAAGAATAAAAAACTCCAAACTGTTTTGATAGATTACAACGCTAACCTTCACTTGGCTGACTATTCTTTTGGAAAACTAAAAAGTCTTTCCAAAGTAAACTTGTCTAGCTCAGGATTGGAGATCATACCAGAGTATGTATTTGACAACTCTCTGAATCTTGAAATTTTGATACTGAATCGCAACTTTCTTCAAATATTACCAGAAGGAGTGTTCAACGGGCTCCAGCAAATGAAGAAATTGGATTTGAGTGAGAATAGCATCTCTTTCATATCAGATGAAGTTTTTTCCTCCTTGAGCAATTTGGAGGATTTGAATTTGAGATTCAATCAGCTTTCTGAAATAAACAGTGTGATTTTCAGTAAAACAGTTAATCTAAGACATCTCAATCTGGGCTACAACAAAATCAAAACAATTTCTCTCTTCGCGTTTCGATATAGTAAGAAAATGAGCAGTTTGGATTTGTCTAATAATCTATATGAAATGAAGTATGGCAATGATACCAATCCATTTTTGCACTGCGATGAATTGAAAAAATTGACACTGGAGGGAAATCTCATTGAAGATTTTCCATCTTCAATTAAGTACCTGAGGGAGCTGAGAATTCTGAACCTGAGGCATAATAATATTGAAAAGATTTGGGTGAGTACACTATTTGTTATTAAATATTTTTTTTTATGATGTTTTAACCATTTGTGATAAGTGGTTCCACAGTATTTGGAAATGTTCAACTACGAGATACGTAAAGCCTTTGATCAAGTAAATCATGATGTGCTTTTGCTAAAAATTAGTAAATTTGGGTTGTCGAGGAATTTTCNTTTGGGTATAATTCACTTATGAGCGTTTTATACGTTTTACCTGATATTGTATTTTCTATTGAAGAAACTGGTACCTGCTTGTTTAACGCAAATTAAGAAGAAGAATGGGCTTAGAATTGATCTTTGTAGAACACACTGAATGATACGAGCATCTCATGCTGTGCTATGACTATCATTCATTATTTGTGTATTTGTGTAACAACTCAAGGAAGAAAATGTTCAATACAGGCTATTCACGATTATATAATTAAACATATTTCTTCCAAAGGTGATTGATGTCAGACCAATCTTCAGGAAGCAATTGACAGTAGATTCGAGAAACAACAGAATTACCGAGCTAGATCTGCAGTATATTGAACTACTCGCGATAGAATATCAGAAAAGTTTAAGAAAAAATCATCGGAATCTTCAAACAGTAGTTCTGCTGCAACACAACCCACTGGATTGTAATTGCCAGATCTATGAGCTCATTCGATATATCCAGAACAATCTCCACCCTGCTGTGAAAAACTTGGTGGATATGAGATTGGAGAACAATGAATGCACATCCCCGCGTTTCCTCAAAGGCAAAAAACTCTCAGATCTTCAACTGGAACTGATAAAGTGCCCCTACCCAATGAAGTGCAAGTCCTCGAGCGACTGTGAGTGTTTCTACAGACCTTTCAACGATACTGTTGAGGTAGACTGTTCATACAGAAACCTCACAAAGTTTCCCAGAATCGAAGTGGAAGGTGAAAGAGTTGCATTGAACTTAGTGGGAAATGCCATAAGTGAAAGTCCCTATTCTAGTTTAGGATATGAGAATGTTACTAGTTTGTTGCTGTCTAATAATAAGATTTCCAGGGTCACGTGGTTGCCACCTAGAATTGAGGTAAGATAAATCAAAATTATTTTATTCAAATTCGAGAATATTTCATTACTTCACAAATATGTGAATATATGAGTGTAGTAGGTATGCAGCGTAGGTTTGTTCAAGAAATAAACTTCGAATCAGTATTCAATAATACTTTTTATGGGTTTTGGAATATGTTAATGCATGATGAGGTTCACGAGGAAAAGTTACTGCTTCATATAAACCTGTGAAGAGTGTAATTAGTCACTTTTATATAATTTCATGATTGACTCGGTGCAGGGCCGTAGCGAAAAGAAATACCAGGTGGGAAGGGAATCTAAATTTTCCCAATCCCACCAGCAAAATTTCCCAACTTTTCCAAGTCGAAAAAACAGCGAAAAGTTGGGAATTTTGTAAAATTGTCACTTCAAAATTTGTGGACTGTCTTGGCAGAACTGTTCTCTTACTTGGGAGAAATTAAACTTTTTTGAAGTTTTCAAACAACTCAGAATTTCAAAGTATGGGATCTCCAAGTTATGCATGTTGGGAAATCCCAACCTTCTCCTGGTTCTTTCCCTTTTCTTATAACCTCTCCCTTTCTTTTCTCTCATTTTTATTTTTTTAATTTTTTTTCATTTTTTCAATATTGTTTTTTTTATATCTTCAAGGACTAAAATTTCCCAACTTTTTCCCAAGTAGAAAAAGCAGGGGGGAAGGCCCTGACTCGGTCGTTACTTGATGACGATCCATAGTAATTTCATAAACTACACTTAACGATTCGATTTTCACAAACTTTATTATCACATGTTTTGCAGTAGATTTATGTTATTTATGTATGTTATTCACAACGAAAAAGCTACTGTTATAGTGAAACATGTCGTGACACTTTTGAAAATGAAGTTTGTGAGGTTTGTGAAATTTAATATAAAATAAATTGATGGGGAATGATGACGTTTGCATACTTACCTTTCTCTACATTATCTCACGTTGTGGAAAGCAGTTTTTTTCCATTTTCGAAACCTTAGCTTCTTGGTAAAAAATATATCGATTGGAAATATATCGTTTCCTCAACTGTCTTTCAAAATATACTAATATTTGCCCCATAGTCATTCAGAAAATAATTTTTAACATAGCGAAAATCCACATTCGAAACATTCTTATCATTATTATTATTTATTTTTTATTGATTTCATATCCATTTGGAAACTGATTGTACCTACATATTTCCAGGGTTTACTTCCTGTCAACACTGATATTTGACATAAATTATGAGCTTGTGTTGCAGTGTTTGGAACTTTTGGTGTTAGGTTACGTCTAAAGTGAGTGGATCTATTCGACCCTCCACCACAATCCGCAAGGTTTCATTGTGGTTCACACTTATTGACACTCGACCAAATATACCCAGCTTCTTGACGAAGCTGATTAGTTTGTATGGTGAGTGGTCTTACAGATGGTAAGAGTACGGCTCTGGCCAACTCTAAAACCTGATTCGGTCCCCAGTGGGGCAGGCACAAAGTATATGCTCAGCTGTTTCATCATCTTCCAAACAGAGGTGACACACACTGTCTTCCGACAGTCCAAGTCTCTGCACATGATGATTCAAATGCCAGTGACCTGTGAAAGGGCCTATTAGACATCGTAGTTCATCCCTACTGTAGTAGGGTATCAAGCTTCGGAGGGCGAATAAACGCCTTGGAGTAAGCCAATCCTGGAAGATTCTGCCAAAAGTCCATAAATCTTCTAGCCATCCAGGTGTTTAATGTTTGTTTGGCAAAGCCTAAAGCGATGCCAATGACAGGTTCTGGTCCGATGAAGCTGCTTGCAGCTGCTTGCAAGGGAATCAGCAGCTTCATTGCCTTCCAGGCCAGTATTGCCAGGAATCCAGACCAGAGACAATATGTTGAGTCTTTCTATAGAGGAGAGTTGTTTTTGGCCATTTGCTACCAATTTAGACGTTGCTTGGTAGGAGACAAACCGTTGGTGTAGTAATGAATATTACTGGAGTCAAATCCCAACACCAAACCATTATTTTAAAAACCTCGACACGTGTTCAAATCACCAAGTGATCATCTTCAAGAGAAAAATCAACCTGTTCAATTTTTGAATGACTTGGTTCCATAATTTTCGGCAGTGAATGAACTCAATGATATTTCACTGGTAACTATTGTTACAGCGAATTGTTTGACAACGCTTAGTTCTCGCTGGGAATTACTTTCAGACAGTGGAACAATATTAGACAGTCAGTGAGGAATTCTATTGAATGCTGCAGTATTATGCTGATGTGAGAGAAATTATAAATGACAATGGCCATATCAGATTGTGTGTGGAAAATCATGTTTATTATTGATTTAAACGAATTTGTGAACTGTTTATTGAAAATCTTAGAACGGAGTGTTACTTTGAAACAATTAAATGAATAATAATAATGATTAATTTCAATTGAATTATCTGTGAAGTGAGTTGACAGTTATTTGAATTTTTGTTCATTACAGATCATCAAACTCGATGGAAATCAATTGAAATATATGACTCCATATATATTGAGAAAGATGAACAACTCATTAACTGTAGAATTATCTAACAACCCTTGGACTTGTGACTGTTTCGCTGCGAATTTTCAAAAATTCGTGAAAAACAAACTGGGAAAGGTGAGACAAAATCCAAATTAAATTCACACAATCACATTTTTTAACGGAGAAGTGTATCAAAATGAAAATTCACTTTTCATAATTTATTTTTATACCTTTATAAAACATCATGAATTTGATTTTCCAGGAAGGCAAAGAAATTATTTGCGCAGCTGACAACAAACCTCTTATTGAGAAAACAAATCTTTGTGAACTGAAGCCATTTTTGATTTTGCATGTTATGTATCTCAGCCTAATCCTCATCGTTTTCCTGGTTGAATTTTTCTCCTTCTATCGTAATTACAAATCAAGGAAAGCTGATGCTGCAGTAGAGATTCTATATGTATAACCCATCCTCGAGACGAAATTTTGGTCAAAGTGAAATGAAGAAGCAATACAATTTGCCAAATAAAATTTTCTGTTGCCAAACTGGTTTCGAAAATTTGAAAAAAGTGACACAGCTTGAAACATACTGGTTTTAGAAGTAATGGATTTTGAGTATATTTTGGTTGGAGATGCCAGAACGGTTTTTGCGTAGAATAGGTTTTTCAATATTGTATTATATTTGTAGAGATTTGAATATATTTATACTGTTGAAGAAATGTTTTTTTTGTATGTTTATTGAACAAAATCATCAGTTATGTGACCGTTCTCTTTTGGGTGTTCGGTTGAACTTATCACAGTTGACTAGATTCATATCTCATTACCTTCAGGGTCAATCAGCAATGAGCAAATGTATGACTTAGTAATTGTATTTCGATTATTTTCAACTGTAAGTGAGCCTTGATAATTTTCTACTTCAAAATATGTTCTCAAATGTTGAACTCAATCATTGAACTGACATTTTCTTCTGAAATATACAGGGTGCTATGTCAAAAGTTTCTGATATTTCACAGGACGTTTCTTCACTTACTCATAAGATAAAAAGTTCATGCAAGGATACGTCCGTAAAGCCTTCATTTTTGAGATACAAGGTGTTGAAAATATATTTTTATTTCAGTTTTTCGTGAGTACAATTCAAAATAATGTCAATATTCAAATTCAAATTTGGTTTTAGTTCAGCACTTAATTGTAGGAGGCGCCACCTACAGTTCTTGGTCTCTTCTGGGGTATCACAACTTTGTCGTGCATATAAGTATCACATTTTCTAGGAATAAAATCGATTCTTATATTATTTTACGTTTCTTTACGTTTGTAAAGAAGTGTAAAAATTTTGTTTTTTTTTTATTCAACCTAGTAACATTCTAAACGCCAATTCCTAATCGACAGTGAGTAATGGAACAATAGATATAAATCTGGATGAAAATCACAATAAATATTCGAAATATCCACTTCTTGTCTGTATCCATGCATCCAATATTCTTCTCATTGATTCGAGAACTCTTTGAGAAGTTCCTGAAGTACCTGGAGTCGATCTGCAAGAGATAATTACTCGATTCCCTAAGGTGATAAGGTCTGGTGATCTAGGGAGTCGCATGAGTATCACTAAGGAATTGTTGAATGACGTCAATGGCGATCCAGATTTGCTTAAAAGTTCATAACTGGCAACGAATCATAGACAGATGGTTATGACATCGAAAATGAAGTTCAATCGTCCCAATGGAAGAGCTCAGGATAGCCAGAATAAAAAAAGCACGTCAAGTTTGATCAACTGCCAAGGTTTTTCTCACTGTTGTCTTCGATTACCGTGGTAATTCTTTCTTGTTGAGCTCTGTGGTTCGAATGTCTAGGGTTAGGTGAGTGTACTTTTGATCGAATATCAACTTTGATTTTGGAAACTCATATATTTATTTATTGATATACATCTTTATCGCGGTTGAATTCAAATATTATTATATCTTGAGCTCAAATAGTTCATGGATCACTTCAAACTTCTTTATGGGGTTGGTACATTATCAATGACATAATTGTTTTGAGCATTCTGAGGACATTCTGTCTACAACCGCGTAAATTTATAAATAGAGGTTTCAGATATATTCATATATTTGGAAAAAAATGCTTCAATGAATTGATAAGGTCGTTCGATGAATTGATTTTTTTTTCTTTCACAAGATTGCAGTGAAACATGGGAATCATTATAATTAAGTGATTGTCTGATTTGGTTCATTAATTTGTTTGATTGTGGCTAAAATTCGATTTTCTGTGATCAAAGTGGAGAGTGCTTATTCACATATCAATGAAGGAGTCTGTCCACTATGCCTTCTGCCAGTTTTTCGAATTCCATAATATTCATGACAACCTTGTGGAAAATCTCAATTCATTGAAGCATATGGAAGTTTTCATTTGAAAAAATAAGTTTACTGATGGAAACTACTACTAGAATTGAATCCAATTCAATGCCAAAAATAACCAGGCATCGGTTTTCTCCCAAAAGATAAATGTTTCCGAACCAGATATAATAATGTCAGATCAGACAATTCCGCTTTCTGCCTCGACAAGTTTGTTGGAGGTTAAAATGGACCCAATATGTCTTGACACAATCCCGTCATTTGGAATTGCAAAGGCTGTTTCTCAGAAGCTTGGAACACTGTTCCGAACCAGAAAACTGTACACACTTTAGCAACTTTTGATGCTTTATAAAGCTCAGATGATACCTTTTTTGGAGTATTGTTCTCATATATAGAGCTCCGCCCCCAAACATAACCTGAAGCTGTCCATTCAGGAAAGATCAATCCGCCTGATTGGAGACGTGAACATCACTTGCAACCTTGGTTGTCTAGAACATCGAAGACGTGTTAGGTATTTGTCTCTCTTCTATAGATACATTCACGGGAAGTATTCAAGTCACCTGGCACATTTGATTCCACCAAGACCGGTACATATAAAAAATACGCGACTGCAGCTGCTCATCGTTTCGAGGTTCAACTCAGTACACCTCAAACTTCACTGTTTGAGAACTCTTTCATTTGGGGAATGGCGTTTATATGGAATACATTTCCTGAGAACGTGTTTCCAAATGGATTCGATCTTCAACGATTCAAATCCAAAGTGAATCGCTACTTTTCCACAGTCACCATTCTAAGAGCACCTTAAGGATTTTTCTCTAGTGCTTGTGTTCCGCCCTTGAAAAAAATCTCCCGCTTCTACTTCTTCTGCTATTACTTCTCCTGTTAATACTTCTACTACTTCTATTACTATTACTATCACTACTACTACTTGAAAATCAGTTGTGCCTGAAAAGAAATGAAAAATTTCCCACAGCTATGATATTTCTGCAAGTGTTTTTAGAATACGTTGGTGATGGATTTTCATCAAGTATCGGCAGATTCCATCATATATCGAAATGGAAAATGATTTCGAAATGAGAAAGTCTTTGCCAATTAATTCTACTAAATATTCAAATTTGAAATCTCTGTATCTTTCAGAATATGTGAAACTTACTTTCATCGAAATCACCTTGTAAATCCCCACTAGAATTCAAAATTGGTTGATTATGAGTTCGCTTTTATTTGTGAATTCCTCATTTGTAGAAATAAAACATTCAAAAAAATTATTGGTAACTTTATTCAGTCGAGCCAACTTCAAACCAATCACCCAGTATATCTTCCTATGAAAATGATTATTCCGTTGGATTGGATGTAGAAAGCAAAAGGCCGGTTAGCTATGAAAAATAATTTAGGTGGTCTTTGGAGCGAAAGAGGTTCCACTATAACTGAAAAAAAAATCATTATTGTTGATTTTATTGAAGCATGTTCCACAGATGAAACATTTGGGATAATGATACTTATTGCTAGGAATTGCAGGTTAAAAGGTGAGACCTCATGAATCTTCAGCTCGCAAGGCTTCGACTTGTGAGGGTTATCGTTCATTTTTTTTCAACCAGCGTTAGCTGGTTGAAAAAAACATTTATTTTAACAGATTTTTTCAACCGATCATCGATTCATGATGATGAATTTCGAAAAAGATATGCCGTGTAAGCGATTTTATTGAAGCGAAGAACCTTCAGGAACTCATACATTTTGGTATTCCTGATCATTTATCCAATAAATTAAATTTCTTCCTGCAGAAAATGCCCTAAACATTTTGAGAGCTGTAATTGAACCTATCTACAAAAAAGGAGACCATAAAAATGATAAACTATAGTTCTATTTCGCCATGATCTGTGTGGTCGAAATTGCTCGATCTTGTAAAAATATCTAACAAAGTTCTCTTGGAATAATAAGTAAATTTCACAATCTTTTCAGAGAGATTATAGACGACCTCACTACGTCACCAGTGAGAAAAATAATGAATTCAATCTCCCGCAAGGGAAACTTCCAGCAACCACTTCTTTCCTTATATATCAACAGCCTCTTGGATTTGGATATTGAACGGTAATCCGCAGATACTACTGCAGTAATCATAGTGAACACTCCATGAGATAACATAACAGAGAAAGCAACTTGAATAATGTAGAAACTGACCATTTGGTTTGACTATCATCTACTGACCGTGAATGTGAATTGAGCTACGTATCTCTCATTCATATGATAACCATCCACTATTTCTAGAACTAATTTATCAGTAAGTGAGTCGCATTCAGTAAAATACCTTGCCACTTCAAGTCTAATAAGAACTAACACATCAGAACTGTTGAACCCCTTGAAGGTTTATTACATATTCTCAAACAAAAACGTGAAATACTGCCAGATCAGCAAATGAAAACGGTTGATTCTGACCTTAAACAATCCCTAAATCAATATGGGCTTATACCATGGAAGGGAATTGATAAATCAAACTCAAAACTCCCAGGCTTGTCCTTTGAGGACATTTGAGTCCAGCAGCATTTATGGTTGAGACCAGCACCGTTGATGAGGAGTCAATCACTATTTTGGCTTTGGTTTCATTTAGTTGTCTTGCGAAGAAAAAGGTCAACGTCGAAATTTGTTTTTGCAACTAACCACGTTTAGAATCCTCATTGTCTAGTCCTCTGTCAATCCCAAAGTTGTCATTTTCGTGAGGGCAGATGACTTGGCCTTCAGTTGTTAATGTGTCTGTTTAGAAATTCTAAATTGGAGGACATTAATTACTCAAACTCCAAACCCCCAGGCTTGACCTTTGAGGACATTAGAGTCCAGCAGCATCCAAGGTTGAGACCAGTACCGCTGATGAGGAGTCAATCACCTTTTTGGCTTTGGTTTCATTTAGTTTTCTTGCGATGAAAAAGGTCAACGTCGAAATTTGTTTTTGCAACTAACCACGTTTAGAATCCTCATTCTTTAGTCCTCTGTCAATCCCAAAGTTGTCATTTTCGTGAGGGCAGATGACATGGCCTTCAGTTGTTAATGTGTCTGTTTAGAAATTTTTAAATGGAGGACATTAATTTATCAAACTCCAAACCCCCAGGCTTGACCTCTGAGGACATTCGAGTCCAGCAGCATCCATGGTTAAGACTAGCACCGCTGATAAGGAATCAGTCACTATTTGGGATCTGGTTTCAGTTGCCTAGCGATGAAAGAGGTCAATGTCGAAATTCGTCTTTGCAACTGACAATGTTGGGAAACCTCATAGTTCAGTCCTCTGTAGATCCCAAAGTTGTCATTTTCGTGAGGGCAGATGACATAACCTTCACTGGCTAATGTGTCTGTCTCCAACTTTTATCATACTTGTACATCCACAATATATTCATACAGATTACAGCACACTTATCTCATGATTCAATTAAGATATTTCAATATCAGCTGTGCTGAAAAAATGTTTCAGATTTTGACCAAGCAATGTTCAATAGCTCAACCAAGAAGCTGCGTATACCCTCAGCTACGTTTAAAGTTTATGATTTCAGAATTTAGATTCTTAGTGGAATATTCCTTCTGTATGAGAAGCTTCACTGCCAGAACATATACAGTTTATTTCTCGAAAAGAGCTATTCAACTGATTCGAGTCCAAACACCACAGACCTGAATAATTGATAATCGTAAAAAGGTTGGTGATGAGTTTTTCTTCGGTAGATTCTTACAAGGTGAATGTCAGAGGTATAGAATATTGGTCCAAGATAGAGAGACATTTTGTTCTCTACCATTTGTGCCACCCATTACTAGCGAGGAAAGAAAACTCCCAATACTTCAGAAAGCATTTATTGAAATACGTGAAAGTCAGATAGTTGTATCTTTTGTTTTCTGCAGCATTTCAGATCACTTGGTATATCGGCCGGTGAAAAGAATAACTCCATTGCTTTGGATGTAGAATGCGAAGGGATGATCTGCGAAGAATTGACCGAAGGGTCTCGAATAGGGAATACCTCGAACTGAAAAAGCATACACGGTGTTTCATGAAATGGACTTCATCATCAAGTAGGGACACACACTGTGTGATAATTAATACAGTGTGTGTCATATTGAGCTCCCATCAACAGTTGAGCTAAACAATATTTTATATAATAAGGGTTTTTTGAAACACTTTTCAATACTCAGGGTACCTAGTGAAAGCATGGTGTATGAAAGTAAGGTTTTTTTGAACACAGATGGTTATTATTGCTATCCACATTCAGGTTCCGTCAAAAAAGTACTTTTGGAAAATATAGTATTGTGTATGTTGATAGCAAGTGGTTCAGAGGTAATGCCAAATCTAACGTCTCAACTGTCTCATTTTCATAGAAAATTTAATTGAAGATTTTTTTATTATGAAAATCTTCCACTAACGTTATTTCCAGTATCAAATAGTAATGTAACTGAAATGTTTTTTCTTATACTGGGTATATCGAAACTCTGATATGATTTTCAGAGTTTCAATATACTATCTTTATACACAAAGATTCAAAAGATTCACAAAGATGGGTAGATTATACAAAAAAGCAGCTTTCAGATATGAATTAGAAGATGACCAAATTTCGATGCTATGGCTTGTTAGCTCATTTCTGTTTATGACTCTTCAGTTCCCTGAAAATTTCGTTTTCCGCTTCGATAATTTTGTTGGGGGTTGAAATGGACACAAATATTTTTTTGCATAATCATGTCGCTGGAATTGCAAAAGCTGCTGCTCAAAAGTTTGAAACACCGTCCCGAACCAGAAAACTGTACACACCTCAGCAACTTTTGATGCTTTATAAAGCTCTATTCTATTTAATTCTATAAGAGCCACCCGCTTGATTGGATATGGGAACATCATGTACAAACTTGATAGCCTGGAACATCGAAGGAAGGTTGGAGATTTGTCTCTCTTCTATAGATACTTTCATGAGAAGTGTTCATGCCATAATAATAATAATGATAATAAGTTTATTCACATTAGGATGTTTACAATAATGGCATGAAAAAGCTCTGGGTGTCATTTGCAAATAAACGGAGAAAACCATTTAGGACCAAATGGTTGCGTATGGGTCATTATTTCTCGTCTGTTGCACAGACTGTTTCATTATACATTCTAACGCCAAAGTAAGTATATGATCTTTGTCCTATTTATTTTCTGGTGAGATTTATTTTCACGATTTCCCTTGATTCAATGCGAGTATTGTATGTATGTTAATTCTGTTGGAGTATTTGTTTGTTTTTTCAAGTATAGATTGAAACATTATATATGTATATCTGTCTTATGTCGAATACCTTCGTTCCTTCGAACAAGTCATTGGAAGAGTATGTATATACTTTATTATACATTTTTTTAGGAATTCGTTTTTGTAGGGCATCTGAGTTTTTCAACATTTGATTCCACCAAGAGCGGTACATATCAGAAATACGCGACGGACTGTGGCTGCTCAACGTTTTGAGGTTCAACTCAGTACACCTCGAACTTCACTGTTTGAGAACTCTTTCATTTGGGGAACTGCGTTTATCCAGCAATTCAAATCCAAAGTGAATCGCTACTTACGCACAGGCACCGCTCTGAGAGCGCCTTGAATACTTTCCTGTAGTACTTGTGTTTTGTCCTTGAGAAAATTGTTTCTCTTGAGATGTGCTAAAGGTCATGGATTATATAAGTACTTTCATCTATAACTAATTTTTATTGTGGAGAACTGACTGCTACATAACATTCTGCTGAGAAATGATTAGCGTGTGAAATGACCACTAAAAAGGACCACTCCATTACACTGTATATAAAATGCGAATGGATGGTCTGCTATGAAATTTCCCGGAGAATTTGCAGGAAGTGATACTGGATAACCTGAAAAAGTTTGGTCTTTGAGGAGACTTTCATATCCTTCAATATTTTCAATTAACAAAATATCAATTACCACTTGGAAATACTTTACTCCAATTTTGGGACCGATGAGTCGTGTTTTTTCTTTGAACAAGATTGCTTTCATCTATTCAGTTTTTTTTGACTCCAGTGCACTTATGACCATGAATATCATCTTTCTGTTACAAGGATAAGACGATTTGTTTTTGATATGTACATTGCAATTTGCCACTAATATTTTGCTTCCCAAAGAAATAATTGAATTGAAACTGAGTGGAAGATTATGAGGATTTTGCCCTACTGGAAACTGGTCATTGGCCATATTGGTGAGTTTCTCATTTTCAATAGACTTTCCACCTAATGACTTTGGCCAACTTCATCAGTGGATATTGATAGATTGATTTGAAGAAAAATTTGTTTTTGAAAGCTGCGGATATACCTTGGTTTCCAGTTGTATATCATCGAATAACTTCCCAGAAACTTTCCGTTTGTGGAAACCCGCTGAACTTTACCAACAATATAAACTTACCTGCTGATGCAGCTGCAGCTTCAGTTCCAGCTTCATTCACATCAATAAATACTTTCTGGATAACATCAGAAACCACAAGATTTTTGTCCGTGGAAGATAAACCAGATAAGTCAGCTTCTCCTCTATTGAAAATTTTATTGATTCCCAACTACAAAAGTCACGACGTGGGCGTTAATATAAATAGTAATGAAGGATTGGAGAAACACTGGATGATTCATTTAGCAATCGGTTCACACTTACTTTTCTCAGAAGAGGAATCATTTCGATTTTGGTTTCAATTCTGAATTTTGGAATCAGTACGTCGACTCTTTTTACTTGAAGTGGTTGTGGAGCCAGTAGAACTTTCATATTTTTTTCCAGAGCTGCCAAACCTTGATTTTCATTCGGAAGGATGAAAACCATACTGACGTTACCACCTGATAAAAATAAAATATATGCATGGGTCTTTTATTGAACGCTTCCTATCTTTGAATTTAAATGTGCGTGGGATAGCATCGAAATTTTTTATCCGATTCAAAGACCTGTTGGTGCCGTATTGACAGAACCTCGACAGTTGCTTATCACATGTATTATGGATTCCTAGTTAGAAATACCTACAAGAAATACAAAAGACTTCGAGATAGCTTCAACATTGAAATTACTTTATTTCACTTTTTTGCGATCTAGGCTGGAATATGCATCTATCAGGTTTGTATGAATCAACTAGAGGCTCTTAAACTTGAAGGCACGTATTACTGTACAAATACCCTATTATGAATTGCTTGATATGTTAGATATGTCAGCTATTGGAGCTCCTACCTACCAAATAGCAAAGTGGCTCACTAAGGAATTTGAAACCTTGTCTATTTCGGAACCAAGTTTTAGTATAAAAAACTCTTTGGAGTCCATACAACATACAAATATAACATACAATGCAAGAAGGTGAGATTTTGGTTTTTTTTNTTCATACTGTAGAATATGTATGAAATTAATATTTGAAGAAATAAATGTGTAGAATATGAGATCCTTCAAATGTCCTCCACGGCTTCTTATAAAAAAAGTTTATAAAATCTTGAACTGAATTAAAGATAATAAATACATAATACGATATAAAACGCAATACAATAATATAGTGACAAAATCACAGTACAAGTTTGTTATAACAAAAATGACAGTTTCCACTACAATATAGCGGTAAAATACAAAATAGTGATACAATATCAAAGTATAAAAAAACAATATAATGATGAAACAGCATAGAATAAGTGATGTTTTGGGAAATAATGCGACTCATTTCAATTTTGATGGTGTTTGTGAAGATGTTAAAGATATCATTGTATTCCCATTTCTGAGCATTCGAGTGACAGGATAGAAAAAAACCATAATTTGTGGAGTGGAACGGTATTTTAAATGTTTTGGTACTGACTCTGATCTGTCTGTTGACATTCAAATTAATTAAAGATGAAATCTTCTCACAGTTGATGTTGCCAGTTAAACTACTTTGAAAAAAAGATACATCTCGAATAATTCTTCTATTCTTTGAAGATAATAGATTCATTTGATCTCTAATGTTGTTGTATGCATATTCTCCCCTTTTTAGACCTAACTTCTATGCACAGATTCTCAGGAATTTGACCGATGGCATGGGTTATGTTGGCTTTGAGGACTGCTGTAGATTGTGGCTCATTCGCATACACCTTCGACTTGGAAAAACCTCACGAAAAAAATCTTGCGGGGTCAAATGGTATGATCTCGGTGGACAGTTCACCTCCATTCCCTCCAATTCCCTATATAATGATATTCACTGTTTTGAATTTGGATGATTGGTTGCTGAAGTTGATGTATGAATTGAAGACTGGGAGAAATTATTATTTGATAGTTCGCAACAAAAAGAGAATTGAAACAGCTCCAAAGTTTGGTTAGGTTAAAAATAATCGATTGAATTAACATATATCATTATCTATGTGTTTTTGAAAATTGATCATCGTGACATAAAAAATGATTATTTCATAAAATAACAGTGACTGCCAAATTGGAGTAAGAATGAAACATGGAATTATGGTGAAACTTCTGATGCAATGTGATATGTTTTATAGACTCAAGGTTAATAAAGAAACAATTTGAAGTACACACAAATTTCTCTGGTATTATTATTATAGTTATAGTTATTCAACACTATTTTCGTCAGAACTTCAATCAAATATACGTTTGTTGGATATATATACGACACCCTAAAAAATAAATCTGAAGTAGGAGGTTAAAACTCACCTCTGTATGGTTTTTCCAAAAACTTCGCACCAAGCTCAGTATTTTCATAGTACTTCAAGTATTCAACCTGATGCATCATATCAACTTCCACAACTTTATCCTCAGATGCGTAAAACTTCTTTTTTTGTGTTCTGTAGGAAGCGAAAGGCTGTAGCCATATTCCTTTGAAATACAGAGCATTCACCAAAACCATTGTGGTATCACTATCGATGGACGAAGGATCGATAATCTCCTTTATTCTACTTTCAGAGCGTTCCTCAACCCAACTGTTGATTTTTCCAGCAGTTTCTTCATTTTCTTCGAAGTTCACATTTTCAATACCTTAAACAAATACTCATACTTGGTTCAAAGTTGAGAATAGTTGCTTGAAGAACTAGTATTGAAAGTGAGTTTACTATACATAGTGTCCTACAATTCAGTTAACAAGTGATATAACGACCTCCTGAGATCATTTTTGTTATCGTTCAAACCATAGTAGTTTCTCAGGAACAACCTCCAACTTGTTTTCAAATGGACTCCGAACAATTGTATCCTTCACTCAAGTTTTTTTATTGTCATTGTGAATACAGAGAGGCAATGTTTTTTATAATATTGATGATCCAAATAGTTATTTTCAATCAAATATCTCAAAAATTTCATTAACTTATTTGAAATTCTGAGAATTCTACAGATTCTACAAATTATATTCGAAGGTGAAGCTGACAAGCTTCAAAGCGTATCAGGAGTTCTCTGATATTCATAGATATTCTTCTGATCTACTGACAGCAATTGGTAATCACATTCTTTTAGACGACCCCATAGAATAAAAATTAGTGGAATTATATCAGGGTGACGAAATGGCCAACGCATTGGGCCTCTGTTTTCTATCCATCTTTGAGCATATTCATCATTTAGATGTCGGGTATTGTTTCCAACATCATACCATCATGTTTCCATACCATCATGTTTCCATACCATCATTTCTCTTTCATATATTGAGAATATTCTGACAGTTCAGCAGGAAATATAAGTATCGTGTTCCCGTTGAAGCACCAGTGTGAAAATATGGTCCAATATCCCTTGTAAAATACACACCATATGGTCACACTCAATAGTGTTTAGATTCTCTGCTATCCAATGTGATTGGAGTAGTAATTAGCGTTCTGTATACTAACCACACCTTTACTATAAAACCTGATTTTAATACCCCAGCATCTTTAAGGCATCTGTATCAGCATGTGCCATAACTCAGAGACCCGCAATGAATAGTAACCTTCGTTCAAAATCTTCAAGCTATAAAACGTGCACAAATGGACTTTGCAAGGGTAAACCTGCTTTTTTCAATTCCCTCTCACTGACCCCAACCCCTTCTACTGAAATTAGATCTGAAACATTTGGATTTATTTCAGCATGAGTTAGAACATTGATTTCATGTCTCTTCACTTCTGGCTGGTTCTAATATAGATTGTATCAGCTGCAAGCAGATTCATCGGACCAGAATCTGTCATTGGCATCGCTTAAGGAGTTGCCAAATAAAGATTGAACATCTGGATGGCAAGAAGATTTGTGGACTTCTGGCAGAATCTTCCAGGATTGGCTGACTCCAAGGCGTTTATTTACCCTTTGAAGCTTGATACCAAACAGTTGTTGGACTATAGTAGGGATGAACTATGATGTCTAGGCCTTCTTACAGGTCACTGTCATATGCAGAGACAGTGTGTGTCGTCTTTGTTGGAAAATAATGAAACAGCAGAGCACAGCCTTTGTGCCTGTCCCACTGAAGACCGAATCAGGTTTTTAGAGTTCGGCAGAGCCGTACTCCGACATTTTCTGACCTGAAAGACCACTCACCATAGAAACTTATCGGCTTCTTTGAGAAGCTGGGTTTATTTGGCTGAGTATGGATAGGTGTGAGCCACAATAAATCTTTGCGGGTTGCGGTGGAGGTTCGAATAGACCCACTCACTTTGGACCTGAACTAACCTAACCTATTATAACAATATCGACAGTGACAAGTAAACCCGAATAATTGGGGGTATATTTTTGGGGGCGTCATTTGAGAAACATAAATAGAAGATATTTTTTGAAAGAAGGTTTGCTTGAATTCGACAATATTTTCAGGGATGCATGTCATCTCTTCGAAATGACTAAGTTTCATTTCTGTATTGACAGTATTTACATGAAGGATCAAACAAAATGAAAAGTTTTGGAGGTGTCATTTGGAGAAACAAAGTTCAGTGTGGTTTCTAATAAACTGCAATGGTTTCAGAGATGATCTCAGAAGGACATTCTGAAGTCTTTCAATACCGTCCATGATTACTTTTTCAGCTTTACAAATATAGCAGATTCGCTTGTTAGCTGAATTTCTGGACATCATGTATATGACAAGGTCAACAATTACTATCATAATTTGTTTTCTGGAGTATATCCTATAAGAATATTGATAATTTGTTAAAAATTGAGTTTCAAGTGAGGTACTGCAGCATATTGACGAGTACATCATTCAAAAACCAAATACAAGCTCAAATCACCTGATTCATAGACACTTTCAGCAACCTGTCTGAAGTCATCTTCCAATTTAACTCCTTTCCCGACGTATATCTTGTTGGCTGTAGACAGTTTCAGATTTTCGTCTGATGACGTTAGTTTTGGAAGGAACCATTTGAAAGCTTCTTGGATTTTTTTGTTGGTGGAAGGCAGTGAGAGACCTGATACCATTTCTCTAGCTGATTCTCCTTTGGCTCCTTCATGGGTCAAAGCCAAGACAGTTTGAGCAGAGAAAGGACTTGTCACAATGTTACCTCCTTGTACTTTGATGAGCTCCTAAAACAAGATTGAGCGTAATTTTTTCTCAATACACACTATTTATGAATTTGAATATGTGTCTCTGGGCAGTATTTGTATTCCGGGGGTATGGTTTCCTGTTGACTACTAGACGATATTTATATAATGATTATTTGAGAGGTGACTACAGATGGAATTCTATATTGAGAATCTCAACTCTAGTTTTGACTTCGTTATACTGAATTATAGGAGAGCATGTGATAAAATATCATTGGAATCTCAAGTATGATGGTGATGAAGATGATGGTGAAGACGAAACCATATGCTGCATAAACGAAATTGAATTTTTGAATCAACATTGAAAATCATTGGAATGTACAATGGTAATTTGCTGTTCAGCCTAGAATGATTCTCTAAACTGGTTACAGAAACCTGCAATTTCAGATTATCTTCAAAAAGTCTATCAGTTCTGGACAATGAGAACAATTCTGAACCTACATGAGAATCTTGAGGGTCTAGGGCCATAGCTAGACAGTCGCAAGATTTGCCTTCGATGAGACCACAGGTAAACGAGTGATCAAAATCAGCTATGAGAAATCCACGTCTTTCAGAGTGAATTTATTAATCAAACAATAGAAAATTCAAGTTAATGGAGGCCACATTGAAATATGCGACAACCCTATCATTACGTTCCTTACTTTCATAACTATATGGCTTGAAATTTTTATGGGTAGATGACACTCGATGATGAATGACATTTTTCAGAGCCTTCATTATGTAAATCTTGAGTTGATGTAATAGAAATTGTGAAGATATGGTGAAAGACGAGTTGCTCCAGAACTAATGAAATGCTATTTGGAATAAAGAGTCAGTTAGTCAGTTAGTAACCATTGTGCAGAGTGTTCCACAGAGTTCAATATTGGGCCCTCCATTATTTTTGATATATGCTGATGACCTGGAGGCTATTTTTGAGGAGTGTAGATGAAACCGATTTCGTAGTTAGAGAACTTGATGTAACGACGCTGAAGGAAAGAACCCAAGAGGTATATGAACAAATGAACACATGGTTAAAAAAAATCAGTTGACACTCAACACATATCAAGCAGCACTGATGAAGTTCTCAATGAGTAACTCTCCCAAAACATTTCGTTATCTACGAAAACAAGGATCTCTAAGTTGAATCTTGTACTTTTACTAGGCCTTACATTGGACTATCAACTCACATGGACTCCTCATTTCGAGACAATGTGTAGTGGATTGAGGAAAACTGATATGCGACCAAAAACTGTCATTTGCGATATGAAATTTTTAACTAGGACCCACTCTTTGGTTGAAAGAATATTCAGAATGCAGTGAAATGCAATCAGAGTCATTGGTGGTATTATGTGGAGATAAATATACATGTAGAGATGCATTGAAATAGCTTAAGATATTGACTGTTGCTGATACCTATATTTACGAATTATGTATGTATACGTGTATAGAATCAAGCTAAATATATCTTTTCAACCACATCATTATCCAATTTGATCTAGAGATAAACAAATATATTTAAAATATGTTTTTTCCGTTAACCAGCTACCGCACCCCTACAAACGACAACCCTCAGAAATCGAAACTTGTGCGAGCTAAGAACTAACGAGGTCCTACCTTCAAATGTGTGATTAATGTGTGATACTAACACGTAGTGTTAGTTTGCACAGAATAACCCATTACCTGAACAGGTTTCTTCATCTTGGACTTGAAATGTTTGATGAGCTAGATGCTAGATGATACAATTGGAAAACCACCAAATTCAAACATATTCAAATCAAGACGTTACCTTTATCCAAGAACTCTGCTACACACTGTATTAATTTAAAATATTCTTTTTTTCATACCAATTTTCACGAGTATGTGACAAAATTAACTCTTTCTTAGCCAAACCTGGTTTTATAATTATATATATGTTTATATGTTCAATATTTGGCTGTAAATATACATATAATTGAACTATTATAATTCAAACTTTGAACAATTTGAGAATTTAACAACAATTAAATTTGTCATTATTATTTGCACACATGGTGTTACAACTTTTCGAAATCAGAACACTCCAATCTTTTCAGCTGTTCTTTTATAATGACAGTATTTTTAAAATCTGTTTAAAAAAATCTGTTCTTCCGTTAACCAGCTGTCGCACCCCTACGAACGACAACTCTCATAAGTCGAAACTTAAGTTAAGGTTTAACGAGGTCTTACCGTTTAACGTGTGATTCCTAACACGGGTTGGATGATAGCAAGTGAAAATCAATCGTTCAGACTAGGGCTTGAAAATTATTCATACTTCTTGGTATTGAACTTTTTTGAAGTCTCCAAGGGTGCAGAAAAACCTTTTTGGGGCTCTGTGTGTGACTTATCTGATGGTAATACATATCATACGAATTAGATAAATTTCAGTGAAAGTATTTTTTGGGTCTGCTTTTATTGAGCAGTTTACACATTGTAAACCTTTCTTTTTCGATAGAGTTTTAAAAATGGGACTAGTTCAAGATCTGGAGCATATTTCAATATTTCCTTTCCTTACACCTACCTTGTGAAGATATGCAGCAAATTTGTGATTTCCACTGGTAAATTCTAGATTCGCATTCTCTTCAATTGGAGTTGCTAATGTAGCATGGACCAAGGCAAATAAAAGGAAAGCTGATTTCATGTTGGCACTTCTCTGAAGAAAACTTCAGTAAGATGGGTAGAGAAGAAGTATATCGTACGTCGTCTGAAATCGTCAAATCTGAGAGAATAATGTAATATATGGAGTAATTTTGAAGCAAACTAGACAGTGAGCAAGACATTGAAATACAACTTACCATCCACTGGAATTATCCCAACAAGTACGACATGAGTTACTGTTCGGATGATTCTTATTGTATATTAACTTTGTTTGATTAGATTTATTCAGTCGTTTCATTCCAGTAAAACACTTCCACCCAATCACGATTGCCTTGAAATATTTTGGTTATGATAATTAGCGATAAATTTATCACTCTAGACTCTAGAGGTTATCTTCACTTTTCATATCAAGAAATTTCTAGTGATGTTTTCAACATTACTGAGGAATTTGAACAAAACCGCCTTCATTATTCCATGCTATAGATTGATGATGTGCTACAAATTGGATCTTTTTCATATGTTCACTTTGGATAATAACATTTTTCATGGATTTTCACGGAATGAAATATTCGAATTTATAGTAATCAAATATCGAAATTTTGGATGGCCTACTACAGAAACTCACAGGTTTGGTTTAATATTATGATTATGTTAGTACTTGATCTCAAATCTAAGATAACTATGTGATAGATATTTTTAGAGATTTCTGGCAATGGTCTGCAGCTTTTATGTTTGTTCATTGTTTACCATCAACTCATCTTCATCGGTATGGTGTTTTTTTACTAACAAAACTGTTTGATGGCTAAACTTCAATGCTATGGCTTGTCGGCTGATTATTGTGTATGGCTCTCCAGCTTCCTGAAAGAAAGTTCTCTGCAAGTGGCCATCAATGGATATCTCTTGAATACTTTTACCATCAACGCCGGTGTTTTGCAGGGGTCCATAGTGTCTCCAACCCTCTTTTTATTGTATATCAAAGACTCATTGGAAAAAACCAATAATCCAATATATTGCTATGCTGATACATCAGCAGCGGATGCACATCTTCACCGGCAGCAGGAGGTTGCATATCTTAATGAGGATCTAGAGGTGATTTCGAATTGGTGTGAAAGTAACCAGGTTTGATTCAATGCCACGAAAACCCAAGCATTGGTTTTCTGCCCAAAAATAAATGTCTTGGGACCGACAGACAATTTCGCTCTCTGCTTCGATACGTTTGTTGGGGATTTAAATGGACACCAACATTTCTGGACACAACTTTGTCGCTGGAATTGCCATATACTAAAATGATCCGACAAGCCATAAATCGAAGTTTGTTAGCAAACCCTCATGCCACATAGGCCTCAGAAATATTAAGCGCAACAGCTCTTGACTCTCCACGTTTCTCAATTCCAAATATGGGTAACATACTGTCACAACTCAGTCCTCGGTTTGCTTATTATGAGAGGATTCATCGCTGTTTTACCCAATCCTCATTCTTCCAAATGATGAAAAACTCATTTGAAGATCGAATTGAATATTTATCATGTTAAAAAAAAGAGAAAAATACACCCAGGAATGAACTAACTCCAAATAGTTGAGAAAAATACGAAGAATCACTAAAAACTTACACTATATTGCTACCCAGCAGGACCGAAGAAAAGGAGATGTGCTATATTCTGAAAATGCTCTGGAACCGTTTCTGAAGAGTGATCAATGAATACTCTAAAAACTTTCTGTTGTTTGAAGAGAAGGGGTTATATTTTTAAGAGTGATTAATTTTTGGGAAAGAAAGTTTCTGGCTTTGTACTACTCCATCTTGATACAAAAAAAGGAAGAGGCAATCTTCCAAAGAAAGGAAGGAAGTAATCAATTTGAAAATTAGAAACTCTATACATGGGTGTATAGATCATGCAAAGAAGTAACTTTCAGACAAAAACTGAAAAAAAGTCCTCCTGAAACAGCTACTTTCATATAAACATTGAATTACATGAAAGAAAACAATTCTTTCGAAACAAATACTTCTATGTGAACACTGAATTATACAGAAGATGCTTTTCTCTACTCAGTTTGTATTTCGAACATTCGTTGTGGAATTCGTTGTTGATCTTGACCACCCTTAATGTTTATAAAGATGCAAATGCTGAGGTTGCAACTTTGCTTCGATCACCGTACTGAAGTAAAATACTTTGCGTGTTTGGAGATTGTTTTTATTTATTTATCTTTTAATTTATATATTTGCTTGAATGAATTTGAATTATTTCATGACTATTTTTCATATTTGACAATACGATAAAAGGTCACCTGTTGATCTTACTTTCTGAAAACCATATTGATGATCGCTCAAGATGCTTTCCGAATCATGAAGGATTTGGTGGTTTACGGCTTACTCCATGATTTTTGATATCACTTATGGCAAAGCAACGTTTCTGTCCAACTACTTATATTTTCTCAACCACATTTCACTCTTTTTCTATTTTTACACGCTTTATATTAGCTTCACCTGTATGTATGTATGTATGTTTGCTTGTAACTCTCAAACTCGGGATTTGTATTTGACAGAATTACCGACATTATGGCTTGATCTATTCGCGAACAGATGGCGCTGTACGTAACCTCCTTGATATATCGACATTATTGCTTGATCTATTCGCGGGCAGATGGCACTTTTGATTTGAAAAAATAATTTTTTTTATTAGCACGCGCGCCTGCTGCCTTATTCATAACCCTCCTTTGCACGCCTACTGCCTTGGGCTTGGTAGCTGATTTTCAGGCTCCCTCTCCGGTATCGGAAAATATCAATGGTCATTTTTCTGAACAATATACGGCTGATTGATCCCAAAGTTTAGATGAAATAAATATAGTTCAAAAAGACTAAAAAACACGCTTTTATAGTATACGAAACGAAAAAATGAAAAATAAATATAGTTTAAAAAACAAAAAAACACGTTTTTGAAGAACATCGAACTGAAAAGTTGAAAGTAATTTTTTTGAATGAGCTTGGAACAATAACGAACAAAAAATCCTACTATTATTGTGAAAAAAGCGTGAGCGCTTTGATCCATATTTTTTGTATTTCAAGCGCCCGTCGCTTTTTTTACAGTAATACTAGTATTTTTTTGTTCGTTATTGTTTTGAGCTTATTTTAAAAAACATATTTTTAACTTTTCAGTTCGATATTCTTTAAAAGCATGTTTTTTAATTTTTCTAAACTATGTTTATTGATATTCGAGCAAGGTGATTGTGCCAAGATATATTACTGTTCTATTCGACAAAATCATCGCAGTATTTCCTGTGTGTGGAACGAAAAATAAAAATTGATAAAATTACATTTGAATTTATTCCAACAAATTTAGTAGGTAACTACTTCACAACACTTTCAAATAAGCATATCACTCCATGAACCGACCAGAGAAGAGTATCACCCCATTGGATTGAATGTAGAACGCGAAGGGATGATCTGCGATGAAGTGCTCAGTAGGGGGTGGAGGCATGGAGTACGTATTTGCAATTGCTGAAAAATAGAAATAAACTGTTATTGAGAAATCGATTACAGATATGTTCATATCTGATTTTTTTGTTCAGATATGAAAATCTATAAAGAGAAATATTCAAATTTTCGACCAAAATGACCTTGAAGTACCAGACATTTCGTCTGTTACTGTGATACACCGCTTCAGTGGTGTAGGCGTTGGGTGCGAGGGCCTACACCACTGAAGATGTCTGTCATAGTAGCAACTGAAACGTTTTGCACTACAAGTTCCTTTCGAACATGGCCCACTAGCCCAGATTTAGTTTTTTCTAATCGTGACTCCCGTTGTGAAAGGTTATGTTCTTGTACAATGTTGCATAATTTAATTATGAAAAATTTGTTTTTCTGAATCTCCATTTAAAAATGAATTAATTCTAGTCTTTAAGTTCGCTTCAATATCTAGTAGATTTCCATAACAGAATATCCACAAGAAAATGTTTCCGATCACAAATCAAGCTTCCTTTTATACGAGTATTATTTCAGTAGGTTGCACTTGTACGTGAAAATTTTTACATTTGTTGTCTCTAGCTTTCATAGTCACGATAATACGAGGTCCGGCTATTAAATAAGGAGACTGGTTACGAAAAAGGGTTTAATCATAAAAATTATTCCATATTCGAATGCTCCCCTTCAATACACCCTCCTTCTCTCGCCACACACCCTTCCATACGTTTTTCCATTTGGTGAGGGTCTTTAGGAGCTCTACCGTTTTCTGCTTTATCGCTTCCATCGACTCAAATCGGATCCCTTTCAAAGCAGATTTTATTTTCGGAAATAAAAAAAAGTCGCACGGTACCAAATCTGGCGAGTGCGGCAGTGTGGTGAAAAATCCACGAATTGTTCTTCCACAACTCGGGGCGGTTCTTACGCACTTGTTCTCGCTGTGTTGCTAAAACTGACAAATAGTAAGTCTGGTTGACAGTCTCACCCTCTGGAACCTATTCATTCATCACAATACTGTTAATGTCGAAAAAAATGATTAACATTGTCTTGAATTTTGATTTGGACATCTTTGCATTTTTGATTCTGGGCGATTCAGGCGTCTTCCAATGCATCAATTGCCGCTTTGTTTCAACTTTGTAGTCAAGAATCCACGTTTCGTCGTAAGTAATAATGCTTCTAACCTTTCAAAGAAATCTGTTGACGCGAGAGCTTCAGGTCAGTAGTAAGGTTTTTTGGCACCAACTAGGCGCAGACTTTTGTCATGTGTAATTCCCCGTGTAAAATGTTCTAAACGTTCCTTCATCGGCGTTTACAGCTTCGGCAATCATCCGGATGCTCATTCGATGATCCGTCACTGTTTTCGCAGTTGAAACAGTGATAGAGCGACCTGGGCGCTGGTCATCTTCAGTGCTTTCTCAGCCCTTACTGAAGAGCTCTCACCACTCAGAAACACGCGCACGAGATAGAATATTGTTCCCATAGGACTCTTACAACAATGCATAGCACTCAGTCGGAGTTTTTTCCAATTTAATGAGAATTTTGGATTGATACGTTGCTCCTGTTTTTCTTCATACATGGTTTTCGGCACGAGAAAAAACACGTTCGTTTCAAACCGCTACACAAATACTATAATAGTGACGAAAACGTGTTTTGGTACGTGAATAGAAAAGATTCCCAGATACCCAACGCACTACTCGTTTTTTCCCCACCCCTCTAGGTGCGCAGTCTCGTTATTTGATAGCCGGAACTCGTAAACACATGTTCGAATCAAAACTTCGACATTATCTGTCAACTAACCTGCTGTTGCAGCTGCAGCTTCAGTTCCAGCCTCATCCACATCGATGAAAACTTTTTGAACAACATCAGAAATAACTAGCTTTTTGTCCGTCGATGACAAACCAGACAAGTCAGCCTCTGTTTCATCGAATATTTTTTTAATTCCCATCTACAAATAAATAGTTTTAAGTGAACTTTTCCTTAATTTTCAAGAAAAAAGTATTTGAATGGTATACAAACTTTATTACCATATTCATACTTACTTTTTGGAGCATTGGAATCATTTCAATGGTACTTTCAATTCTGAATTTCGGCATTTGAACTTCCACCATGGCTAGTTGGAATGGCTTTGGAGCCATCATATCCTTCATATTTTGCTCTAGTCTAACCAAACCGTCTTTTTCATCTGGGAGGATGATAACCATGCTTGTGTTTCCTCCTGAAAAAAAAATCATATATCGGAGGCTCGGAAAATTAGTGAGCGAGATATCCTGAAGTCGAAAAGCCTAAATAGGTTACAAACCTGCTTCAGAAGTAGAACATTTCGAATGCATTAATATTGTTTCAGTTAAACCAATCAGGAATCAGTTTATACACAACTGTGAGAATATTTGAGATCATTCAACCCAATTTGCAATATTCATCAAATTGACAAGGGTTGAAAGTCATAGTTTTCCTTGGAATGGAACCAACTTTTGCTAGCTATGGTTTATGAGTTAACCAACACCCTACCGTATTATGAATGATATCAAAAATATCTCAAGCAGTCTGACCTTAGTGTGATAAATATGTATCGTGAGAGTGAAATCGACTCACCAACGTAAGACATTTCCAAAAACTGGGCCTTCAGAGCATCATCGTAATAGTGCTTCATGAATTCAGCAAGTTGCATCATATCGACTTGAACAGTTTCATCTTTCGATTTGTGGAATGTCTTTTTCTCGGTTCTCGCCACTCTAAATGGGGTTTCCCATTTGGCTTTGAGATATAGTGTATTTACCAACACCATTTTAGTGTCACTGCTGATAATTGATGGATCCATGAGATTTTTGATCTTCCTTTCAGTACGTTCCTCCACCCATCTGTTCATTTTTCCGGCTGCCTCTACGTTTTCCGCAAAATCCACGTTTTCCACACCTATAACATACAAAATGATCTGAGAAACTGTAAAATTTAGAAATTGCTATTTTTGGAGAAAAAAAAGCTCCATTCGAAAATTTACTGAATTTAATCTTTTCCTGAGAAAATTACTATTCTCAAGTTTGAAATAGAAGAAAATAAATTGGATGATTCAATTGATTTATTCATTTACTGATGTCAGTGTGCATGCAAACTATTACTGACGACGTGTTAGAAACGAGTGTTCTCAACCAAAATCCTAGGTTAGGTTGAGTAAGGTTAGGGCCAAAGTGAGCGGGGTCTATTCGACCCTCCACCGTAACCCACAAGGGTTTATTGTGGCTCACACCTATTTACATTCGACCAAATAAACCCAGCTTCTCAACGAAGTTTTTATGGCGAGTGGTCTTTCAGGCAGATGGTTAGAGTAAGGCTCTGCCGAACTTCAAAAACCTGATTCGGTACCCAGCAGGACAGGCACAAAGTATATGCTCTGCTGTATCCTTGGTATTGAGGTAGTCGGATAGTCAAGGTGCAAGATTCCCACCTTGATACCCGCGACAACCTTCCCATATGAGGGTTTTTGCACGTCAGCTACATCTGACGATGCCTTGATTCAACCGTGTAGGGCTTTTTCGCCTCTGGTTTTGGTGAATCATCATATGAGCGCAAACGTTTGCTAACCTGCTTATGGGGGGTTTGTTCCTCCACCTGAGACAGATTCTGCCTACGCCTCTCAAGAATTTGGTGCAAGGCGGTTTCATGAGGTACCCCGCTTTTGAGGAGATGACTCAGTCGTTTCCTGGCTGCACCACCAAACCTTTTTTTAGGTTCAGGTATTGGATCAGGAGTTGGAGAGTTGAGAAGTTCTCGCTCTTGATCTAAATTTACAGGGAGGCCAGTTGGAGTCGCAAGCTCGACATCCATCTCCTCTGTAGACTCAGCTTCAGAAAGAATTTTCAAGTTTACTATGTCCATAAAAGTCCCACGAGTAGCTAGGGAAAGAAGGTCAATTACAGCAGAGCCCCGCATTATCGTGATAAGGCGATGCTACGACGAGAAGACGACCGGTATCTCGAAGGTTCCGTAGAGACAGCTGATAGGCTCAGTGTCATTCATCCTATCGGCATGGATAGACACACCTCAGGATTGAACCATCGTTGGGATGCCATTCATTTAGGGAATAATAGAACCACAAGTGATTCTGTCATTCCCATATTCAGCGGGGCTACGTGGAAGCAGGCACCCCCACATCCCATGCCACGTTTGAGAGTGAAATTGATGCTTGTGAGTAAAACATTTCATATGAATATTATTCATGGAATACATCTGTGTCAGGTTCCATTATGAATTTCTGCTGAGGAGAAAAAGGGAATTATGTGTAACTCAATATCCATTTGTGAAAGTAGTTGTTACATAATCGTTTCACCATATTGGCTAGAATGGTTTGATACTTCATGTTCAAACACTACAGAAAAAGATAAGGGAAGTTTTATAAACCAAGCAGAAAGAATGTAATAAGTGATAGTTCCACTTGACGAAAACCTGAGAGACATATATCAAATTTATATAATTAAAGAACATTGCTGTAAAAGAAAAATGCATTTAGTGCTTTTTTCTCATTGTTGACCTTCGAAATATAAGGACAAATTATTTCCAAAGCATCCATGAAGTAAATCGTAGATTCCTCACTTGCCAAATGAACGAAACTTTTGAAGATTTCCGAAACAGGTCAGTCTTCAATAAAATTGCATTTGACTCTTTACTCCTGTACTAGCTGAGGAAGGAGAAAAGCAATTGTTTTGAAATTGAACTGAACACCTTCTTGAAAAGTTTATTTTGAACAGAATTGCTTTCATTTCTCTTCATGAAGTTTTCCACAATGTTTTATAAGGAAATGGAGAAGTAGAAAGCTAAGAAGGAGTTAGGAAGCAAAATCCTAACAATTGATCGAATTGGATTCCTGGAGATGGTTTTCATTCCTTAGTCAGATTGTTGCCTCAATAGAAAGATTGATAGTGATCACCTCAATAGAATTAATGCTTTTCTGCTTGATATTTATGAAAACTTGTATCATTTTCAGAATAATGAAAACATTTTCGAAGTTTAACCTAGTAAATTCTTCTCTCTCGAATAGTGGAATTCAAGAAATTATTCAATACTTCTCTCTATAAGTTTTTTCAATCACTTTTTCTTGAAAAAACACTTCAATTTCTTACTGGTCGCCCCCTTCTCGGGAGGCTTCCGAATGAAAATATCACATCTATTATCGAACTAATGACCTAGTCGAATTCGTCGACATCAAGCGTGGTTACTAGCGTAGGAGTCCGCCATTCCTCAATACATCTTTCACTTCAATATTCATTCGAACTCAATTTCATTTCAGAATGAACCTCTCTTTTGGACCCCACTTGGTCATTTTCGGCACAAACGTCCTCTATCGCGATCGCAGAGGAAGCCTATTCAATTTTTGATAAATACTAATTTTTAATGATTTAGGGTCACTTCGTGTTTCTCCTCCACAGCAGTTGGTAGCAGTGTTTTACCATTTGTAATCATACTTCCNGCTAATGTAGAATTTGTAACCCTCAACTCATTGCATTGTTCATTTCTCAAACATACATACTGTTTGCGATTTTGTAAAAAGCTTGTAATCCATGTAAGTGCATTATCTTTTACACCATAATGGTATAGCCTCTTTATCAAAATATTATGATCCACACAGTCGAATGCCCTGCTGAGATCACAAAATATCCCAACAGGGTACTCGCCAGCATAAATAAGGCGCGTTATTTCGCTGATTTTCCGAGATTATTCCGTTAGAATCAAAAAAACATGACAGGCGGTCATGAATGAGTATTCAAAAATTCTTGAAAATATAGATGGTATCGTTAATATAGAGAGGCACCACCCACTATTCCCACATTAAAATCAACAATGCCAAAAATTCGTTTCAGACAACGTCTAGTCAGGCTAATTTTGAAACAGATCAATATCAACAGGGCGTATGGTCCTCTTGACGTACCCGTCATCATACTCAGAAAGTGCGCCAATGAACTCGCACCAGTATTTGGCAGACATTTCAAACTGTCTGACAGGAAACGGTTTTCCCTTCTTGTTGAAATATTGCTCGCATTCAGCCTATTTCCAGAAAAACAAGAAAAATCTATAGACCGTTTTGCCATCAGTGATATGAAAACTCATGGAGAAAGCCATAACCCCCCATATCCTCAAATATTTAGAAAGCTTCAACATCTTGAGTGATCATCAATATGACTTTTGGAAACTGAGATCCATAAGCGATCTTCTATCATCAACATGCGATCTTCTATCATATCTCTAATAACGCAATCGGGAAAAATGAAGAATCTAGAGGCGATGAGCTTACTCTTTCTGAGGTCTTCAACCGTGTGTGGCATGACTGTTTGCTGGCACAACAGGAGGTTCTATATCTTAATGAGGATCTAAAAGTGATTTTGAAATGGGGTTCAAGTAACCAGTTTCATTTGAATGCCACAAAAACCGAAACGGATTTAGCTTTCTGCTTCGATAAGTTTGTTGGGGATTTAAATAGACACCAATATTTCTTGGCACAATCATGTCGCTGGAGTTGCCATACACTAAAATGATCCGATAAGTCATAAATCAAAGTTTGTCAGCAAACCCTCATGCCACATATGGTCATGGGCCCTAGAACTATCAAGCGCAACAGCTCTTGACTCTCCATGTTTCTCGATTGCTTTATTCCTGATATGGGTGACATACTGTCGCAACTCAGTACTCGCTTTGCCTATTACGAGAGGATTCATTACTGTTTCATCCAATCCTCATTCTTCCAAATACTGAAAAACTTATTTAAATACCTAATTAAATATTTATCATGAAAAAAAAAAGAAGAAAAATAAGCTCAAGAATAAACTAACCTCAAATAGTTGAGAAAAATACAAAAAATCACCAAAAACTTACATTATACTGCTACCCAGCAGGATTGAAAGAGAAGGAGATGTGCTACATTCTAAAAATGCTATGAAACCGTTTCTGTAGAGTGATCAATGGATACTCAATGAATTTCTTAATGCTTTCTGTTGCTGATCTTGACCTTCCTCAATATTTATAAAGATTAATATGCTGAGGTTGCAACTTTGCTCCGGTCACAAAACGCATCCGTGCAACTTTGCGTATTTGGAGATTGTTTTATATTTCCATATCCTGTAATCGTATTAATTTTGATGTCTATGAACTTGGAATATTAAAAGACGGAATTGTGAATGCTGAGTGTTTCTGTTTTAGAATATTGGAGTTGAATTAGAAGTTGAGGTTGAAACATCTTTCAGTTTATGTATTTGCTTGCATGAATTTGAATTATTCCATGATTATTTTTCATATTTGACAATACGATGAAAGGTCGTCTGTTGATCTCAATTTCCGAAAGCCATATTGATGATCGCTCAAGATGTTGAAGCCTTCCAAATATCTAAGTATTTGGGGGTTCACGGTTTATTCCATGATTTTCGATATCACTTATGGCAAAGCATTTTCAGCCCAACTACTTATATTTTCTCAACCAGATTCCATTGCTCCTGTTTTTCGTCACACATGGTTTTCGGCACGAGAAAAAACACGTTCGTTTCAAACCGCTACTTCACAAATACTATAATTGTGACGAAAACGCGTGTTTTGGTACGTGAGTAGAGAAGATTTCCAGATACCCAACGCAATACTCGTTTTTTCCCACCCTTCTAGGGCGCCCTCTAGGCGGGCAGTCTCGTTATTTAATAGCCGGACCTCGTATACACATGTTTCGATCGAAACTTTGAAATTATCTGTCAACTAACCTGCTGTTGCAGCTGCAGCTTCAGTTCCAGCCTCATCCACATCAATGAAAACTTTTTGAACAACATCACAAATAAGTAGCTTTTTGTCCGTCACTTTTCCTCTATTTTTGATATTCGAGCAAGGTGACTGTGCTAAGATATATTACTGTTCTATCTGGCAAAATGAGTTTTTCCAATGTGGGA